CCCAGAGAGCCTGTGGTGCTGGCCAAGCTGCTCAAAGAGACGTCTATCCTAGGACAGATGTTCCCTGCAGCCACGCTCGTCCCCGGCACTTTCTCGGGGAGTCTCACTCAGACCGGTGGTCAGTGGGTTGTCCATGTGACTGGCAGAGTTCAAAGTTGCCCAGGTATGGCTTTTTAGGGGTTTTTTTTTCCATTTTCATCGTCATCGTCATCTTCATCATCATCATCATCATCGTCATTGTGTACAGCAGATAGTAAAACGGTTAAGACCTGGTAGTATTTCCAAAATATATAATGACTTTCAACATTTCACCCTCATCATCATCATCATGAAGTGCCAGATCTGCGGCAGACACCGGTGATAATGGTTCTCCATTCATTGCTTTGCTCGGATGCTCTTAAAAAAGCTACGTTTCCCTGATCTTTCCCTATTACCCATTTGTTTAGCTTCTCCAAGTAGGTTGCTTTAGGCCTGTCCCTGCCTTGTTTGTCTTCAATTTTGCCAGTGAGAGTTAGATGTTCAAGACCTGTATGTCTCTTTATCTATCCTAAAATCTGCCTCTGTCTTTTCCTGATTGTTTTTCACAGTGAATATCCCACGTGGGCTTCATCAAGTACTACCTCATTTGCTTTTTATAGGGTTTCAAACAAGAATCTTACTCTTGTCTTTTCAACCTGTTTGGACCAAATTATAAATAGTGTCATTTTGAAAATGTAAATTGCTGCTATCAAAACTGAATTTTACTACTAGATACTTCAACCATTCTAAATTGCTAGGTAAAAGCACGCTGTGCTGTGAACTGACATTTTACCGCAGATTTGGGAATTTTTATGGACTTTTTTGTTTTTTGCCTCAACACCTTTCATGTCCATTAGAGAACACATTTCTGTGTGGATTTTACTGGAAAAACATTTATTAAAGGCATAAAAGATATTAATTTTCAGTTTTCACAGGCTCTCCAGCTAAGGTAATAACTCAGCTTTGGCAGCCATTTTCCCGCTAATTTTACCTCTGAAACCAGGCGACACCCCCATCTCCTTCAATCACTAATATTTTGACCTGTATCCAAGATAAATGGATATTGATTTCATCAAAAGCAGGGCAAATGGACAAATTTTAAGATGATATCAATAACTCCACATGCCCCCAAATTAACGAGCACCTTATTCCACCATCATGACAGAAATTGTGTGGGTGCTTGGCGGGTGCTCTGGTGTGGTTTGCTCCTTCTTTCCTATCAAACAACTATCGTCTTTATCTCTCCTCCTTTTTTATGTTTGTTATTCTCTTGTAACATCTCTAATATTTGACACTTATATGACCTAATTGTGTTGCAAGTGCCGTAGAACACTTACTAAAACTAAATACACACACAAATTGTATATTTTTCTGCCCTCCGCCCAGGTTACCTTCACGTCCAGCTAAAGGACCCGGGCTACAGCTCGCGGTCACTGTTTGACTGCGACACCGTCGTACGGTGCCCCAACGAGTTCTCCTTGACCTTCCAGCTGCCCACCTCGGACAAAGAGGGCATGTTCAAGGACGTGATCGTGTCGCTGGGCGACAAACACGGCGTACACAACCATCGCGTGTTCCGGAGGTCCAAGCTGGAGGCACAGCTCGGGGCAGCCGCACAGGACCCACCTGGTGTGTAGTGTGTTGTTGTTGTTGTTGTTACTGCTGCTGCTGCTGCTGCTGCTGCTGCTGCTGCTGGTGTTGTTGTTGGTGGTGGTGTTGTTGTTGGTGTTGGTATTGTTGTTATTGTTGGTGTGGCAGTTGTTGTTATTGTTAGAGTGGGTGGTTGGCGGGTGCTCTGGTGTGCTTTGCTCCTTCTTTCCTATCAAACATCTGTCGTCCTTTTATCTCCCCCTTTTTAAAGTTTGTTACTCTCTTGTTATACATCTATTCTTCGGCACTTATATGACCTTTTTGTGTTGCAAGTGCCTTTAAACTCTTTCTTACCCTCCCCCAGGGCAGTGCCAGTGACTGAAGTGTCTTTAAGCCATTCCCAAAGGGGGGATGCACCGTAGAATTGTAAATGGGCTGATTTATCAATGTCATGCTCATACTGTACAGGAACAACATAGGGGGAACTGCTGCTTTTTGTTTCCTAATCCTTACTATCGCCATTTTGCCTCTACTTCTTTTGTATGTTTGTCCCTCTCTTGTGAACTGCTATTTCCAGGGTGCCTTGATAGTCGAAGTAGACTTTGTGCTGTTGAGGCTAGAGAGGTGAGCCTGATTCCTCATTTGGACTTCTCTGTTGGCCTTATCGTGGGCAGTATTGCTTACAGACATATCTCAAAGGCTGCTAAAATTGACTTACGTCTGTATGCAGTACTGCCTGTGTTGTGCAGTTGTGAGTGCCGTAAAACCTTATTAAAATAAGACTAAAAACTCGTAACACATCTCGTTTTCGGCTCTCATGTGACCTGATTGTGTTACAAGTGCCGTAGAACTATTACTAAAGTTTCTTCTCTCTACCCACAACGGCTAAGTAAGTAGTGAGTTTAGACTCAGGTAATGTCAAGCAAGTGTTGGTGACACGGGGTTTTGATGGGTGGTCAATGGGCTGTGTCCTTGAGCAAGACACGACAGCCTTAGCTCAAAATACAGGGCGCTGCACAGTGGCATGGTTGTAAACTGTTCTGTATTTGTGTAATATTGTGCATTTATGTATGTATTTATGCATGCACGTATTTATAATTATGTATTTATGTATGCATATGTATGTTTGCCATTGTAAACCAAAGTGCCCTTCTGGGACAAATAGAAGTGTAATTTATTATAATTATTATTATTCAGTTGAGGCCCCAGAGGAACAGCTTCCTGTGCCGTACGCGATGACGGAGAAGGACCGGCCGGAGGGGTCTGGACCTCGGGCGACCCCTGACCTTCCCATAGCCTTCCCAGTCCTACTGGGGATTGCAGGGACGATCATTCTACTGCTGGTCCTGGCTATTCTAGGGTTTTGTTTCCAACCAGGTCAGAGGTCGTTGTCAGTTGTTTTGTCTGTATGTGTCACGACGCGGTGGAATCAGGCGCTTGTCAATTTTGGGGCATTTGTGAGGCAGCGTGGTGAAATTTCTCGACTTGTATTTAAGATAAATGGGTATTGTTTTCATCGAAAGCAAGGCTAATAGACAGACTTTAAGATGATACCAATAACTCCATTTGCCAAAAAATTGACGAGCGCCTGATTCCACCACATCGTGACTTATTTGGAGTTATTGGCATCATCTGAAAGCTTTTTTTCATATTAGAAAACTTAAACATCCCTGCCGTAAGCTGACAGCACCTTTTTTTATTCACAGCAGTTTCGAAAAAAAGTTTTTTTTGCCAGGGTAACCATTGAAAAATAGAGCGCTTCTGAAATTTAAATTCTATTTTGTTCATAAACTACTCAGTTTCACTTTGGTTTTTTCACTCAAGTAAGGTTACTGATCAGGGTTTCGATTTGATTTAGCAAATAGAAACTTTTGGCATCAAAATGAAAAAGTGCGTTTCGTCAGTTTTGGGCAGAACTGTGGTTACCCCCAGCCAGCTTTTTTGTGTCACGACCAATAAGACAATGTCCCGTCACTTCCCCAGGACTACCGGAGACGCTGTATGCCAACTGGTACCACCCATTGTTCGCCATGGGCTACATGATGATGCAGTTTCTCTACAGCTTGGTCGTGACTGGCACCGTCTTCTTCCTCATCCTTTCTGTGATCACCAGGTGAGTTATCTGTGTATTTGTGAATCGCAATATATATATATATATGTGTATTGAAACTTCACGACCTCAATGCCTTCTTGTCGTATCTCCATTTTTTTAAAACATAATTGAAAATGCGACTTCTTCTTTAGCTCACTCTTTGCTATGAACTGTTGTCACTGTTATTAAAAATGGAGATAAGACCAGAAAGCACTGAGGTTGTGATTGTTAACAGCAGTATTTATTTGTGAATAGTAATTTCATATTTTTAGCATTACTTCATGACAATGACAATGACAATCTTTGACAAGATTACGCAGCTCGTAAGACCAGCTCCCGTATAGTTTTAATATTCTACTTCTTCCCACTTCTGCACAGTGTTGTGATTACAGTCAATGAGAAAAGGAGGGAATATAAATAATGTTCATCGTCTTTACTTGTCTCTCTTCCTTTCTTTGTTTGTTACTCTCTTGTAACCTGTCCCCGTCGTTCTATGCCAGAAGAAAAATTTTGAAATTATGCAAACTGAGCCCAAAAATGTGAAATTATGCGATTCTGTTAATTTTCACAAAGAATGATAAAGGAAAATAATCAGAAATTTTGCAAAAAAATGATCAAATTTTGCTAAATTATGCGGGGTGCATAAAACGGCGGGGAGAGTGTAACACCTCTGTAATCTTTGGCACTTATATGATCTCATTGTGTTGCAAGTGCCGTAAAACTCTTACAAAAACTAAAAACTAAATCTAAGTAACTATCCCAGTTCCAGTTGAAACAAATAATACCTTTCTTTCAGATCAGTAGCCTATCCTTTTCTTATAACCATTCCAATTCACTGAAGTAACATTGCCAATTCAGTCATATTATATTTCCACCACAGACTAGTGGGTTGGCAGAGAGTGCCACTGGTAGGTCCTACTTCTTTACTTTCCTTCTGTTGTTTCTGTTCATCTGACTTTTTCCCGTCGGGTGGGTGATTGGCGGGTGCTCTGGTGTGGTTTGCTTCTTCTTTCCTTTTAAACATCTGTCGTCCTTATCTCCCCTTCTTTTTAATGTTTGTTACTCTCTTGTAACACCTCTAATCTTCTGGCGCTCATATGACCTTATGCAGTTGCGAGCACAGTAAAACCTAGTAAAACTAAACTTTTTCCTGAGCACTAAATGACCATTATTGTGTTGATGTACCTGTACCTCTGTATACTCAAACATAACAAATGTGGGTGGTTTGCGGGTGCTCTTGTGTGGTTTGCTTCTTCTTTCCTGTCTAACATCTATCGTCCTTATCTCTTCTCCATCTTTTTTCTGTTTGTTACTCTCTTGTAACACCTCTAATCTTCGGCACTTATATGACCTTATATTGTGTTGCAAGTGCTGTAAAATACTTAATTTGAAAAAAACAAAAAAAACCCCCACCAAACAAACCGACCCCTCACTGATCTGACTGTGTGTGCCCTCCCCAGCGAACATGTCAACTTTGTGCTGCAGTACGGCCAGCAGGGGGCGGTTAGTACCGCGTCCAGCCACATCGAGCTGCTTCAGTTACAGCGCCACCTAGAGGGGGAGATCGCGCGGCAGGACGCACACTTGGACACCGTGCAGGAGGAGTGTCTGGCCGATGTGGAGCTCATCATAGCCGACCTCCGGAAGGTCAGTGTGTATGTGTGTGTGTGAGAGAGAGAGAGAGAGAGTATGTGTGTGTGTGTGTCTGGCCATTGTGGAGCTCATCATAGCCGACCTCCGGAAGGTCAGTGTGTGTGTGTGCGTGTGTGTGAGAGAGAGGATCATAGCTGACCTCCAGAAAGTCTGTGTGTGTGTGTTCTGTATATGGTTTGCTCACTCGCTGTCCCTCCCTCCCCCCCCTCTCTCTCTCTCTCTCTCTCTCTCTCTCTCTCTCTCTCTCCTCTCTCTCTCTCTCTCTCTCTCTCTCTCTCTCTCTCTCTCTCTCTCTCTCTCTCTCTCTCTCTCTCTCTCTCTCTCTCTCTCTCTCTCTCTCTCTCTCTCCTCTCTCTCTCTCTCTCTCTCACTCTGCTTCTCTCTTTATCTGCCTTCCTTCCTCCCTCCTTCTATCTGTCTTCTTCTTATTTCTCTCTGTCTTCCCCCAGTACAGTAGACGTTAACTCCCAATTTCTCCATCTCTGGTACAGTTACACTCGGACCTTCTGAACTCCACTGAGGACGTATTTCACCGGTACCGTCTGGAGCTACTGCTTGATCAGCAGAAACTGCATGTGCGGGAACGACTCACACGAGATTTGGAAACCTTCAGGTGAACAGACAGTTACAGATTGATGATGAATCAGCTGATTGAGTGATTGATTAACTGGTTATCCCTATCCGTGCGTCGTGTTTTAATATCGTATCCATGTGACGTGGGGAACTCTGTGCCAACACTTTCCACAGGGGAAATTTACTTGTTAATCCGATCCATATGCTTTGCATAGCAGTCTGGTAAAATGATTTTTTGAGAAATACTGAAAGTTTCAAAGAGATCTTTGCAATAGTATTCTAAAATGTGAAGAATACAACCTACTATGCTGTTTTAATCCCCTCTCTCTCTCTCTCTCTCTCTCTCTCTCTCTCCCTCTCTCTCTCTCTCTCTCCCTCTCTCTCTCTCTCTCTCTCTCTTTCTTTCTCTCTGTGTGGCCTACAGATGAAACGTTATTTTAATCCTCCCTCTCTCTCTCTCCCTGTGTGTCCCACCCACAGACAAAACTACGCCACGGCGGCCCAGGCAGTGCTGCGACAGGTCAACCAGAACGCTCTGGCCTCGTTCCAGAACGTGGAGCACAACAACACATGGCTGGATGGGGTTCGCTTCCTGCACGGGGCCGTCATGCTGCTCCGCAAGGCTCACGATAAGGAGCAGAAAAGCTTCATGGACTGGACTCACATCAAAGCGGACCTAGCCAAACTAGAAATCGGTCAGTGTTATCAGACAAAGTTTTAGTTTTAGTAGGTCTTTCGGCGCTCGCAACTGCATTAGGTCATATGAGCACCAGGAGATAAGAGGTGTTACAAGAGAGTAACAAACATAAAAAAGAAGAAGGGGAGATAAGGACGATAGATGTTTGATAGGAAAGAAGGAGCAAACCACACCAGAGCATCCACGTATCAGCCGAATTCTAATTGTATTTTCTTATTTTCAAAGGGAAATGCCATCGTTATCCCTGTCTTTCTCAACATGGATCAGGGTGTAGGTCCTCGAACAAACACTTTCCATCTTTCCCTTTCCTTGAGTAGCCTCTTGGTATTATTACACATCTTCCTACTTTTCTAAATTCTGTTCATCATTCACTATGACTTTTTTCCAAATTCCACATGGCCTTCCCCATGAACTCTAACCCTATGGATTTAAACCCAACATAGTCTTTGTTATGCAGCTGCCTGGCTTCCTAAGAGTACGTCCAATCCATCGCCACAGCTTTTTTTCCACTAAACTGTGAAGTAACACAGGCAAAAGCTGTCCACAATCTTCAACCCGCACATTAAAAAAAAATTTATGTTATCATTATTTTAGATCAATAGAAATAGAATCTTGTATCCGTCTTCTTTCTAAGAAGAGTTTTGCTTGGGGTAAACTATTCACTTCTTACCCACTGCGTGGTTGGTTGCTCTAGTGTGGTTTGCTTCTTCTATCCTAAGAAACATCTATCGTCCTTATCTCCCCTTCTTCTTTTTTATGTTTGTTACTCTCTTGTAACACCTCTAATCTTCTGGAACTCATGACCTCATGCAGTAGCGAGCGCCGTAAAACCTCTACTAAAACAAACAAATTGCCCACTGCAGAAGTCTAGTGCTTATTGCTTTCAGGCGCCAGGGTAAGGAAAAGTGAGCTTGTGACTGTTCAGGGATTGGAATTGAATCCCCTCTCTCTTCCCTCAAATTCGTTCCCGAACCTCTCCCCTCCCCCAAAACAGGTCTTCCATAATATGGTAAGGGGTATAAAAACTTCACAAAAAGGAAGAAGTTATAAAATTACAAGATGACTGTAGCCACTTTATATTGAACCTCCAATGCACACTTAGGTCTTTGGGACCTATAGTTATAAAAGTCGTGTCTTTTTTTTCTCAGATCTCTCGTTCTCCCTGCCTGCCCTGCCTCGACTTGACGATATTCCAGTTGCTCCTCCTGATTCACCGGCAATTCACCGAATGTCGGACCCTAATAAAGACCCGGAGAAGGAGCCAATCAGAACAATTCAAATGCACAACAATTGGTTCTTCCCACTGCAAGAATCGGGAATTGGAGGCGCGTCTTTGTTTCAGGTAAAACTGACAGATGCTGTGTGATAGGTTGAGGTATGCTTGAGCTTTTTCTTTGTCCATGGAGGTAGGGATGAGGAAATGTAAAAGAGAAGAGCCATCTTCATATTTATTTACAGTTCAATCGAACCTTCTCTAACAGCCAATCCGTCCAGGACAATTGCCTGTACACGTCCCACTTAACTTTTTTCCCCCTATGTTATGACACTTCACCACCTTAGAATTACAAAGTTCTTTCTGCAGAGTAACTTTTTTGAGAAATTTGATGTAAAGAATTGGAAGTTTTGCAAGATGTCAAAACTTTTTTTGAATGCAGTGCTTTGAATATCTTGATAACGACTCCGAATAATCTTATGATTTTGATAAAGCAGATAGAACATTTTGATTTCTGACCTCATGGTCTTAGTAACTCAAAACAGCCAAAAATGTCAAATAGAACTTTGTAATTTTAAGGTAGTAACTTTTCTAAAACAACCACTTTTTTCCTCAGCAGTGCATAGCTGCCTTGGGCAATTTTAAATGTATGTTCAGGCTGATTCTGGGCAGTTGTCTAATTTGTTACTTCAATTATTAACAGACTATAGGGGAGGTGGAAAAAGTAGGCCTTATCGCAAAACTGAATGATGTCATTGACTGCCTTACCGAAGAAAGTGACCAATCTGACCAGAGTCTGTGGTTCTGCAGTTAGGTGTTTCACCGTAGCACGCAGAAGACTAATGTTCAAATCTCATGAGGGGAGAATGTTAATTGTGTATAATGCTCTTTCTGCTGGGATATTGCATGTCTCAGCTTGCATTAACCCTAACAGGTAGGGTTGAAGCCAGCCTCCTAGACAAACAAATCCCAAGGGGGATTACTAATATATTCTTATGCACAGTAGAACTGTAAATGGGCTGATTTATCAATGCCTTGCTCATACTGTGCCGGAACAACATAGGGAGAACTGCTGCTTTTTCTTTCCTAATCCTTACTATCGTCATTTTCCTCCACTTCTTTTGTATGTTTGTCACTCTCTTGTGAACTGCTGTTCCCAGGGTGCCTTGATAGTCAAAGAAGACTTTGTGCTGTTGAAGCTAGAGAGGTGACCAGAGTAAACCTGATTCCTCATTTGGACTTCTGTGTTGACATCCACCCCTTGACGCTCATATGACCTTATATGTAATTGCGAGCACAATAAAGCCTTACGAAAACTAACGAACTAGATGAACAAAATGGAGTCGATGGAAGCATGAAAAACCTAAATTTGGGGGGGGGAAATGAATGTTTTGCTAGTCGATGTGTGCCATTATTTAATGTTGTCCTCAGAGTGTTCGCAGCAAGGGCTCGGAGGGAAGCTCACAGGAGACGTCACTCGCCTTCTATATCTTCCTGGGCTTGTTCATCGCCTGCGACCTTGTTCTTCTGGCACACAGAATGTTCAAGGCTTGGACAACGGCAAACCTCATCATCTTTGGGTTTCCAGAGTATTTCAGGGAGCGCAAAGGTGGGTTGGAAATAGGAGATTTATCCCCACACTTATTATCTGACAGTGTGTGAACGTGTGCCTTCTTATGTATTGATTTGCATAACCACCGTCTCGTATCAAACCCTCCCCCCC